CAAAAAAGAACCTCAAAGGCCCCCAAGAGGGCCCGAAGCAGTTCCCAAGAAGCTTCCAGGAGGCTCCCCAGAGGCTCCTAAAATGCCCCGCAGAGGCTCCCGAGAGCTGTCCGATAGACGTTTGTAGGACTCCGACCCAAAACCCAAGCACGGTCGCGGGATGGGCCGACGGCCATTTGATAGGTGGCTTACGCGCCGCGTCACGACTTTCGATGCTGCGCGCCACTTCGGCAAACTCCCAGGGAGCGGTCGGTGATGCGCCGCCGGCGTCCTCGATCCGGCCGCTCCCGCCCTGCGGTGTGGGCCGTGCGAGACCTCTCTGACAGAGTGTTTGGCACAGTCTTTGGCCCCCTTCTCCAGTGCCTGGTCAAAAACCTCCCGAAAGTCCCTCCGAGGGGGCCCCACTCTGCCGCCGGCCCCCCCCCCCCCTCAAGGTCTCAAACGGCCCGGGGACGACCCAAGGGCGCCCCAAGCCGGTCCAAGAGAGTCCCGAGCAGTCCAAGAGAGCCTCCAGATGGTTCCAGATCGCTCCAAGACGCCCAAGATGGCCTCCAGACGGCCCAAGACGCCTTCAAGACGGCCCAAGAGGGCTCCAAGAGCACCCCCAAGACAGCCCCGAGAAGCAAAAATCATTGATTTTCCAATGGTTTTTGAAGGATTTTCACGTTCACGCCATTTCGGCTTACCCACGCTCCACGACGGCCCAAGAGGCCCCCAAGATCGCCCCAGGACGGCCCAACAGGCCCCCAAGACGGCCCTAAGACGGCCCAAGAGGGCCCCCAGACTGCCCAAGAGGCCCCCTGGACGGCCCAAGAGGGGCCCCAGGATGGCCCCAAGAGGAGGCCCAGAAGGGGAACCCGAATGAACATTTCGAGCTTTCGGCTCACGAGGCCCCCAGGAGGCCCTAAGAGGCCCCCTGGAGGCCCCCAACAAACCCCAAGAGAGCCCCAAGAGGCCCCAAGAGGGCCCCAAGAGGTCTCCAAGAAGCCCCTGGGACGCCCCCAAGAGGCCCCTGGAGCGTCACGACGTTCGATGCTGCGCACCACTTCGACAAACTCCCAGGGAGCGGCCGGTGATGCGCCGCCGGCGTCCTCGATGGGCCCCTCGGCGCGAAAGACGGCGAGCATTTCTAGCGTCGATGGCGCCCCGCCTCCGCCGGCGCTCAGAGCGGCAGCGAAGATCGCGGAGCGCAGCGAATGGTTATCCGACTCCCGGCAAGGCCCAGAGACCCAACGACGGGGGCAACTTGAGCATGCGCGCGTGGCCAACGCGCCCCATCGCGCTGATGCCCCCGAAAGACAGGTTTCCAATGCTTGGCCAGCTCTTCGCTGGACCCAGCGCGCGTTGAACGCGGGGCCCCAGGCGCTTCCTATAGATTGCCTAGAGAGATCCGTTTATAGGGCCCCCCCCCGAAGCTATCTCCGCCGCCGCAGTCTCAACCCAAACCTCACCTTCACCTCGGCTCATCCCCCTCCTCCACCTCGCGCTCCAATTTAGAAATCCGAGCATCCTGGAGGGCCTGAATCCGACTGCGTGGGAGGGGGGGGGGGGGACGCGACGGACGCCCGCGGCGACGTCGGAGAAAAAAACGGGGGAGAAAAAATCAAGACGCAGTAGCAGGAACAACCTCAATCTGCCGTGAACGGGCACCCCGTTCTAGCGGCGAGAGTAAGACGCATCGTCTCATCAACCTCGGTTACAATTTCTTGGGCCATGCGCACTCGGGCTCGGGGGCGCGCTTCCCGCGCGCCGCACATCGCTGGCGCGGATTGGCCCCGAGTGCGAGTGGAGCGACCCACGCCAGGGCAATCCGCGTCTGCCGGGAAAGTCGGCTGCGAAACGATCCAGGAACAGGGCGTCCGCGGACATCCCACAGGGGCGAACTGCCCAAGCGCAGCGCCGCCGGGAGTGCGATCCGAGGAGGCGACCCGCGAGGGCCCCAAGACGGCCTTGAGAGAGCCAAAAACGGTTCCAAACGAACAGTTGGCGCCCCAAGACGGCCCCCGAGAGGGGCCGAAGACGGCTCCAAAAGTAGCCCCAGAAGGGGGAGACGAACCGACAAATCGGTCCTTCCGCCCCCAGGAGGCCCCCAAAAGGCCCCGAGAGACCCCCACGACGCTCCATGAACCACTAAAACAAGGCTAGGATCGGGATCAATCGCTCCAGAGCGGTCCAGAGCGCTCTCAGAGCGTTCCGGAACGCTCTGGAGCGGCCGCGGCGCCCAATACATCCTCCAAACCCGCCGATTCTCAGAGATTTCGAGTTATCCCGATCCGATTTTGTCCCGATCTTCGCGTCGTTTTAACCACGCGGCCCGACCCAGGGCAGAGCGCACAACGAGGGAGTTGGAGAGCAGCGCGGCGGGCGACGCAGGGCCTGCGCGATTCCAACGACCTGCGTGGGCGGGGGCCGGGCCGCCGCGCGCCCGCCCTTCCGGCGAGCCCGGCAGGGGGCGGATCGCCCTCGACGGGAGCCAGGGCGCCGCGAGATGCCTCCTCCGACCTCCCCTCTCCCTCTCCCCTCCTCTGACTCCCTCCTCCCCTCCTCCTCCTCCTCTTCCCCTTCTTTCCCCCCCCCCTCCTCCTCCTCCTACCTCCTCCTCTCCTCCTCTCCTCCTCCCTCCTCCGCCTCCTCCTCCTCCCGCTCCTCCTCCTCCCTCCTCCTCCTCCTCCTCCTCCTCCTCCTCCTCCTCCTCCTCCTCCTCCTCCTCCTCCTCCTCCTCCTCCTCCTCCTCCTCCTAGCAGTCTGAGTCCGCCGAAGAAACAATTGAAAAGCCCACGCGGGCCCTCCAGAGGTCAATAAGTGAACGTCGCGAGCTCATCGTGGCCCAGCAGGACCAGTGCATTTCGAACAAAGCACGCGGCCGGGTTTGAAAGGGACGCGCTCAGCGCCAGGGAAAAGGTTGCAGAGGTCAGAGGACAGGACAGGACATTGAGCGCCCCGCTGGCAATGTCACAATAACGCCCAGAGAAACAAGAGACGCACCCAGCAGATCGCCGATGTATCTGAAGGCCTTGGCGTCTCTTCGAGACGAGGAATAGCCGACCGATGAGGGTTTGCCAGTGGCTTCTCACGCAGCCGCGATGCGCGGGAAGACAAGTGGGGGATGGGGGGGCGAAGGGCCGTCTGGCCCTCTAAGCGAAAACGAAAAGCAAGACGGCGGAAAACGGAGAGAAAGGAAAGCGCACGTTCAACGCGGCGCCCCAGACCGAGATGAACTGGATCTCGCCCAGCCGAACCCAAAGCTGAGCTGATCGACGAAGCGCGTGGAAGGCTCTCCGCTCGCGGCGAGGCACGGCGACGAGGCGGGGCCCGAGGGGGGAAATTCCACCAACGTAGGCCCGCATAGCCCATCTGCTTCAGGACCAAAGGGACAGCTCGGAGCCGCCTCGAAAGCATCCAGGATTTTGTGCTGGCGAGCCCCAACAGAAAGCCTTCAAACCCTGAGAAATAGAAGCAACAGGAATGACCTGAAAGTCCGGGGGACAACTAGACAGGCGAAACAGCGGGACGGAGCCCTCCCTCGAACGAAGACCGAGCACCGACATCTCCTTCGATCCCTTCTCGAATCAGCCTGGGTGCCCTGCTTGCTCAATTCTTCCTGCGCAACATTCGGGAGCGGCAAAGAGGGGGGTGTCCACGAGGGGGGGGGGTGCGGGGCTCAGCGGGGGGGGGCCAGGGACGTAATGAAACAAGAGGAGGCGCCATGAAATCTGGGGAAAAATCATGGCCCACGCCATGATATCCACCCCCGCCTGGTCATCACCCCCCTCTTTTCCGCCCCCGAAGCATGACGGCGCAGGCCCACCCAGAAGACAACCGGTGATGTGTGAGGAGGGTCGGCGACGGGCGCGGCGTGGCCACATGTCGTTGGGCCCTCTATAGGGCTGGTCTTCGCGCTTCGACCGCACATCCTGCGGGGGTTCTCCGCAGAGTCAGTGGCCACGGCACGGGGCGGGGAGTCGGGGGGGGCCTTCTTCTCTGGGTAAGAATGAAGGGCCCCTGGGACACACAAATAAAAAGATTCCCCATACTTTCCTATGTTTTCTGGGTTTTTGTCTTCCCCACCACTTCCCATATTTCCCCATATTTTCGGGGGAATCGACGATTAATTGTGTCTGTGTGATTCTTTTCCCTCCTGAAAGAGGCACGGGTTCGAAAGAAGCTTGCCAGCTTCTGCAGTAGCACAGCGCGAAGCAGCATCTTTAGCTTGACGCTCCAAGAGGGGCTACCATACGACGGTCCTCTTGCACCATGAGGACTGAAAGCTGCTGGCGTCTTCGAAACTGAAACTTGAACTGACTCCTCCCGAATCTGTTTGCTGAATGTTTCTGTATGGCGAAATGTCAACTGCACATCCGTTAAAGGTGTTCCTGGGGATTGCGTGGGCGGACGGGGTCTTCGAGGAGAGCGTATGGTGGGCCAGTTCAAGCGCGTCCATGCGAGATTGGCGTGCCTGGAAAAGTGCCTGGTTCTCCTCAAACTGCCGGGGCAATTTCTTGTGGGGCAGACTTTCGATACCGACGGCAGCGGAAAACCCCGACACACGATGATCTATCATCGCACATGTCGCCCTGTTGAAGTGATCGCCCATTATCTATGGCGATCGTTCAGGAAGTCAAAACAGGAAAGCACGCAGGCTGACGCAGACAGTTGGCGGGAATGTGGCCCACAGCCACCCGAGGGGAGGATCTCGCACCAGACCTTGAGCCAACATGGTCTGAGCCAACATGGCGAAGGATCTCGCACCAGGCCTTGAGCCAACATGGTCTGAGCCAACATGGCGACAGATGATGATGATGATGATGATGATGATGATGATGATGATGATGATGATGATGATGATGATGATGATGATGATGATGATGATGATGATGACGATGACGATGACGATGACGATGACGATGACGATGATGATGATGATGATGATGATGATGATGATGATGATGATGATGATGATGATGATGATGATGATGATGATGATGATGATGATGTCAGTCTGGTGGCGTGACGTTCCACGAGCACCCAGGTCAAGACGCTGCGCCGCACAATGTTGATGATGAAAGTGGTGGCGATGACGAGAAAAGGGGGGGGGAGGACGATGGATATCAAATGGAGGACTTATGCGGGCGGAGGATCCGGGGCGTCCAACGAAGTGTGCGTCCAAGAGTGGGGGTTCGCAAATCATGGCCCGAGGCATGTGCGCGGCCCACGCGAGGCCAAGGGACGCACTGACACAAGAGAATGGGTCATGAAAGCAGGTGGGGTGTCATGGCCCCTGCCAGCATAGCTCCCCCGAATCGTCGCCACCCACTTCGCCGCCACCGCGAGGAGAAGGAGGGAAATGAAGATCAGGAGCCACAGGAGGACGAACAGGATCAGGAGCGGGAGCCAAAGCAACAGGAGACGGGGCAGGAGCGAAAGACAAACATGGGGAGGGTGGGGCGGGGAACACCGCAGCTGATGCGGAGGATCACGAGACAAGGAGGAGAACGGGCAAGGAGCCGGAGGAGAAAGTGGAAGAGGACCAAGCGGAGGAGGAGAGGAGGAGGAGGAGGAGGAGGAGGAGGAGGAGGAGGAGGAGGAGGAGGAGGAGGAGGAGGAGGAGGAGGAGGAGGAGGAGGAGGAGGAGGAGGAGGAGGAGGCCCACATCCGCATCTAACGGCCCCTGCTCAGCGCGTCACGGGTCTGATGGATAGCAGATGCGGCGCCAGGCGTGATGGTTGGAGATGACCAGCGTCGTCTTCCTGCCGAGGTCCTCTTGCATCTCGTGTACGACCTGCGTGTTCAGCCGCCACACCTTGGCAGCGCGCGCGAGGGGGTGGGGCGAAGGCAGGGGAGCGCACTCCAATCCGGCAACAAGATGTTCGTGCAGGGTCCGGCCCCGTCTTACGGGCTTCGGAAGATGGCTCCTTGGAAGGGAAGCGGGCTTCCAAGACGCGTGGCGCCTTTTCAGAAATTCGTTTCCAAAATCAGTCCCCCGATGCGGGGGTCCAGTTTTCCGGCTTGCGTCCAACCATAGCCAGCACGAGGACCCTCAAAGCGAAAAACGGCAAGATCCTGAAGGCCGATGCTCCTGGAGGTCGAGCGCCAAAAGGTCTTCGTTCCAGATGTCCCCACTAATCTCGAGAGGTCTCCAACTATCACAGGAAAGCTTGGGGGGCTTTTGCCTGCTATAGACAAACTGCGATGCATACGTAAACAAACACATCGGCCCTCGATCCTTTCTTTTTGACAGCAGGACACCAGGGAAACATCCCAATCAGGGGATGCCCTGTAATTATTTGTTCATGCGCCCCACGCCTGCCCTCTCCTTTTGTTTGTTTCTCTCTCTCTCTCTTTGTTTCATGTGTCTCCCAGTTATACATTTTTGATACATCCAGTCCCTGCTCGCTCTGCACTCTACGGTCCCAGGCCGACTCCAAACGATGCATATGTGAGTGTGTGTGTGTGTGCATCCGTGTACCTGTATATATATATATATATTTATATGTATGTGTGTGTGTGAGAGTGATTCGTGGACGCTTGCTTTGGACAACATCTTCTGGTCGGGGGAGGGCCACCCTCCCCCAAAAAGCATTGAGACCGCCAGGTGACACGACGCCCCTCCCTTTGGGGGGCGGCCAAGAGGGGGGCGTCCAAGAGGGGGGGGTGCAGATCATGGCCAGCGGCATGTGCGCGGCCAAAGGGGGGGCCAGAGACGCAATGAAATAGGAAGAGGCACTATGAAATTTGGGGAAAGATCATGGCCCACGCCATGATATCCCCCCCCAGTCATCACCCCCCTCTTTGCCGCCCCTGACCCCTGGACATCGGCCTTTCTGACCGGCCCTCCCCCCCTTGCCCCCCCCTCCCAAAACGGGCGGAGAGGTCGAACCGCCCCCCCTCCCCGGGGGGATGCCACCCTCCCCCCAAAAACACTGCGACCGCCCGGTGACGCGGCGCCCCCCCCCCCTGGACATCGGCCGCTCTAACCGGGCCCCCCCTTGCCCCCCCTCCAAATCGGGGGGGGGGGGGGGGGCGACCCCGGAGGGGGGCCAGGGCGGCTCGCACCCCCCCTTGTGCGAGCCTGGTGAATGAATGCTCGATCAAACTCTACTGGTATTAGGTCGGGCGTGTCCCCCATACAGGCGGATTTTCGGGCAAAAGAAATAAAAAACAACTGCGCAAGAAATGCTTCCAAATAGACACAGAATGCCCCAAACATCGTCCCCGGTCCATTTGTTTAACTATTTTTGAACATTCCTACTGTAGAGGGACAGGCCCGAGTTAATACTAGTATCCTATGACAGCTGGGTCCAACTATAATAGCATCGCAATATGGCTCGATCCAGTACTATTTGAATCCTAACATAGCTGGATCCAGCCCCGCTTCATCCTATCCAGGCTGGATCAAGCTCGCATGGGATCCTGTCGAAGTTGGGCCCAACTACTGCTGGGCCCAGATCTCACCGGATCCTGCCAAATTTCCGTCCAGCTCTTACAAAAACCTACTATAGCAAGATCAAGCTCAAACTGACTCCAACAAGACATGGATCCAAAAACCAAGGGCTCGATCCAGCTCCAATAAAAAATGAAACCTTACTTGGGCTGGGCCCATCTTTACATGCATCCGACTCAGGTTCGATCGTCGTCGTCGTCGTCGGCCTCGTCGGGGTCATCGTCGTCGTCGTCGTCGTCGTCGTCGTCGTCGTCGTCGTCGTCGCCGTTGCCCGACAGCGCCAGCTCTCGTGCCGGCGCTCGCCGTCGTCGGTCGCAGAGCCTCCCCCCCGTTTAAACCACCCCTTGGCGATTCAGGGCGGAGGGTCGGTTCGAACCCCCCGCCCTTCGTTGAGGGCCCCCCCCTCGCCCCCCTCCCTTACAAGTCATGGGGGGGGGAGAGGAGCGGTTAGAACCCACAGAACGCGCCCTTCCATATCTATATATATACACACCAAAACGAAGTACATGTCGTATATTCATATGCACATCTCTCTCTATACATATATATATATATATATGTATATATAGTGTGTACGTGTGTATACATATCACACACACATCAATCAAGCATATATATATATATGTTTATGTATACGTACATGTATATGTGTATATACGTATATCTGTGTGTAAGAAGATAGGTGCGTTCAGTGCTTGTGTGTGCGTGTTTCCCTCTCGCTCTCTCTTTCTCTCTCTCCCCCTCTCCTTGTCAGTCTCTCTGTCTGTTTGTCTGTCCATCTGTATCCCTCTCTCTCTCTATCTCTCTCTCTCTGTCGCTCTCCAAGTATCTCTCTCATTAACCTGACCTCCTCATCCACCTTCCAATACTACATCTAACAATTGTCGCAACTACTGTCTGCAACGTCCTGATTGTTTCAAAACGGGGCCCCTGGATGTCCAAACCCTTTCCCCGGGACCGGTTTTTCTTCCTGACGTCGGTTTTTGACAGTCCCGGGGCCCGGCGAGGGCCTCCAGAAGCCGAAAACGATGGAAAACCTCCCGTCCAGATTTTTTCACGACGCGAGTATGTCTGGGCGCGCATCGTCGGTCTCCCTCTCCCGGGGCATTCCCTTCATGGCGAGTCCCTCTCCCACTCTCTGTGAGGGGCAACGATAAGGGGCAACTGGCATAGGGGGGATGCATCGACCTGGGATTGGCGATACATCGCCGATACATCGGCGATAGGCCTGCGATAGCGAATCCGCACCCTCCTGGGCAGGTTGGGGCCATCGAGCCTCTATCGGACGATTAGGAGTCGATGCGTCCCCCCCTATGTTGAGCAGGGACCGACCGTCCCTGCATTCCCATAGGCCTACGTAGCACCCGGCAATTGCGGATAAGAGTGAGGGGGCGGGCGCGGGGTGGGTCGCGGGTGGGTCGCGGGTGGGTCGTGGGGTGGGTCGCGGGTGGGTCGCGGGTGGATCGCGGGTGGGGTGAGTCGCGGGCGGGTCGCGGAGCGGGGGGGGCGGGACGACGCAACAAAACAACAAACAACAACAAGAATCCTCGCCGTGGATCCCCACTTCAGCCACGCACCCAGGGACAGTGAATGACCGTTCGGGCCCCCTCACTCTGACCACGAAATGTTCTTAGAACCTCAACATGTTCTAATAACAAAAACAATGTTCTTAGAACATACAGCCGATGTGTTGAAACAAGACAGCCCCGGCCAGACACGTCGTGAGAACATTTCGTGGAGACCACAAACAGTTCATAGAACACTGCTTGGTAGGCCTGTACGCACACCAGGACGCTTCGCCACTGCTTGATTACGTATGCCTATAGCCTATCCCTCCCCCTCATTGCCCCTGACTCCGCCCGTCCCTGCACCGACCCCCCGCGCCGCCGGCCGGCCTGCTCGTGCGCGTCGATGGCGGCCCCGGCCCTCTCTGGCGGCGCGCAGAGGCGGGTATAGGGCGAGGGGGGAAGGCTTCTTAGAAGGGCGCGGCTTCTTAGAAGGCGCCGGCCTTCTACTACATCTACAGACAAAGCCCGCGCCTTCTCAGAATCGTTTTTTTCCATATTTTTTGTTCTCCCATAAACACCGAGCCCTGAGCGATTGGCACCGAGCCGTGAGACGGAGCACCTCTGGACAAGCCGAGAACGCCACACGCGATGTCAAGCACAACGAAACGCCAGCCGAGGGGGACAGAGGGGCGGAAAGAAGGGAGGAACGCGAAACGTAGCCTGGCCGGCCTCGCGACGAAAACAGGGCGATGCTCGGGTACAAGCAAGGGCCCGCTAGAGAGTGGTGCCCGCAAACATGGACTGGGGTGCCCTGCCCAAAATGCGGCCGCTGCCGCCTCGCTCGGCGGCGGAGATCCGCGACTCCCCATGGAAACGGGACCCGTCGCTAAGCCACGCCCCCTTAACCCATATTTGCGATCGCCTGATTCTAACTCGCCATCGCTCGGACGTCCATTCCCTGTGTTTTTTTCGGCTTCGTGCGTGGCTTTTTCGCCAAATGATCAAGGATGCTCCTCGACGGTCCTCGCCGAAGGAAAAATGCACACGTCCGAGCGATGCCAAGCTAAGAAGCAAGGGGGAATTCTCGGAAGCCTCCCCCCCCTCCCCCTGCCCCCCTCTGCGCGCGGCCGACCTCTGCCCGGCCAGCTCCGACCCGGAGCCCACGATGGCGCAGGTGTCCCACGGCCTCGCTCGGAGGGGGCCCGTCGAGACAGAATAGCGGCGCCCCCGTTTGGCGCATCTCTACCGACCAGCCACCAGCTGGGGGAGCTGTGGTCCTTTCCCCCGTGTGGGAACCCCTCGCGTCGTCGCTCTCTCGAGAGGGGTGTCGAAATCGATGGGTCCCCCAGAGGGGGTAAGGGCCACAGCTCCCCCCGTTGCGGCTGGCCTGCTCTAGAAGCCTCCCAGGGTGGGGTCGGAGTAGATGGGGTCGAAGGATCGCGCCGCATCGCCAATGCATCGCCGATGCATCGGCGATGCATCGGCGACGCCGGCGATGCATCGGCGACGTCGGCGTGGCGAAACGCGGGCTCCACATCGAGCCGCATCGCCGATGCATCCGCGATGCGGCGCGATCCTCTGAACCCCATCTGCTCGGACGCCATCTGGGAGGCCTAGTAGATTCGATAAGGGAAAAACAGCTTAAGGGTAAATCAGTGCTGTAGTCGATACCCTGCTCGAAAGTTGATCAGGGCCAAGTCTCAGAGAGCGCCCTCCGCTGCAGGACCGCCAAGGGCCCAGACCCCCTCGAGGCATGGAAACTCACTTGGCGGCGCGCACAAGGGGGTGGGGGCAGGGGGGAGGGCTTCTTAGAAGGAGGCTGCTTCTTAGAAGGAGCCGGCCTTGCATCTATAGATAAGGCCCTCGCCTTCTAAGAAGCAGAGGTGCTTCTAAGAAGCCCCCCCCCCTCCCCCCACCCCCCTCTGCGCGTGGCTGACTCACGACGGCTGCTGCTTCTCCATTGTCAGCCTCCGGAGGACCTTACTGGGCCTCGGGGCCGTAACCAACCGCCAAAAGCCCAGGACCCCCTTGAGTCATGAAAAATCACGGCGGCTGTTTTTGTTTCTCCTTTTTTTTCGGCCTCCGGGTGGCCTTACAGGGCCTCGCGGGGCCGTAACAAGCGACTTGGGATGTAAAACCGCTCTCGGGCAAGGGGTCGAGACCGTTGGAGAGACGTCATAAAACAAATCGTGACGTCGGGGGTCTGGGAAGCAAGCAGCACCCCCCTCCCTCATCCTTCAAGCCGTCTCGCGGGGACGGAGCGCGTCTTCCTTGAGGCAGCCCCGAAGGCGAAAGCGCGGGATCTCCACCTCAGATCGCACGTCGGCGACGCCGAGCAAAAAAAAGCCAGGTCCTGGATCGCGCCGCATCGCCGACGCGCCGGCGATGCGTCACGCTCCTGCCAGCCCCGTCCATTCCGACCCCCACCTGGGAGGACTGGACCTGCGAGCTCAGGACCCTGCGGGCCCGGCCTTCGTCCTCGTCGCCGTCCTCCTCGTCCCGTCAGGGCCGCCGCCGCCGCACCCGCCGTCGTCGTCGTCGTCGTCGTCGTCCTCATCGTCGTCGTCCTCGTCGTCGTCGCCGTCGTCGTCGTCGTCGTCGTCGTCGTCGTCGTCGTCGTCGTCGTCGCCGTCCTCGTCCTCGTCCTCGTCGTCGTCGTCGTCCTCGTCGTCGTCCTCGTCCTCGTCGTCGCCGTCGTCGTCGTCGCCGCCGCCGCCGTCGCCGCCGCCATCGTCGTCGTCGTCGTCGTCGTCGTCGTCGTCGTCGTCGTCGTCGTCGTCGCCGTCGCCGTCGCCGTCGCCGTCGCCGTCGCCGTCGCCGTCGCCGTCGCCGTCGTCGTCGTCGTCGTCGTCGGCGGCGCTGTCGTCGGCGCCGCCGCCGTCGCCGCGCCTCGGTTGCCCCGGCTTCCTCGCGTCCGGCCTCAGCAGGGTCTCGAGCCCGGGGACCTGCCGGGAGTGAAGGGGCCCAAGTACACACAAATATGAACGCACACGCAAACCCAGGATTCCCATATCTTCCTAATTATTGGGGGGGGATGCTCGTCTTCCCCCCCGCTTACCATGCTTGCCCCTGTTTCCCCATATCTTTTCCTGGGCGTCGAGGATGGATTCTGCCTGTGTGCTGTTTCTCCCCTCCCGAGGGGAGCCCCGAGCGGGGCGCGCGCTGGGGCCCCGCGGCCTCTCGCGAGCAGCTGCGGGCGGCTGCTCCGCCGGAGAGGCCCCCGCTCCCACGGGACGACGACGCCGACGACGCCGACGCCGACGACGACGACGACGACGGCGGCGGCGGCGACGGCGGCGGCGACGACGACGACGCCGACGACGACGACGACGACGGCGGCGGCGACGGCGGCGGCGGCGACGACGACGACGGCGCCGACGACGAGGACGGCGACGACGAGGACGCCCCCCGAGAGAGGCCCTCCAAGAGTGCGAGGACAAACATGTACCGATACCGCCACTCCGCAGATCTCACCCACGGTGCGTTCTGCCTGAGGCTTCGAGGCGAATTCCGCCGTGGCGACGACTGAAGGCTAGCAGTATCGGTGCCCTGTCCTCCCCTGAGAGAGACCCTCAGACACGACCCAGGCACGGAGGCGCCCGGGAGCGTGCCGGGAGCGCCTGGGAGCACCTGGGAGCGCCTGGGAGCGCCTGGGAGCGCCTGGGAGCGCCTGGGAGCGCCTGGGAGCGCCTTGGAGCGCCTGGGAGCGCTTGGGAGCGCTTGGGAGCGCCTGGGAGCGCCTGGGAGCGTGCCGGGAGCGTGCCGGGAGCGCCTGGGAGCGCCTGGGAGCGCCTGGGAGCGCCTGGGAGCGCCTGGGAGCGCCTGGGAGCGCCTGGGAGCGCCTTGGAGCGCCTGGGAGCGCTTGGGAGCGCTTGGGAGCGCGGGAGCGCCTGGGAGCGCCTGGGAGCGTGCCGGGAGCGTGCCGGGAGCGCCTGGGAGCGCCTGGGAGCGCCAGGGAGCGCCTGGGAGCGCCTGGTGGCGGGATGGGCCGAAGGCCCCAAGATCCGCTGCCCCGGTGCTTGCAAAGGCGTGCCTGGCGGGCCAGGTGGTCCTTCCAAGAGAGCTCCCAGGAGCCTGCGGCGCTGCCCAACAAGCTCCAATCCCGTGGGCTTTCAGTGCAACTTGGCTCTAAGACGGCTTCCAAGAGGGCTTGGATGGCCTCCAAGACGGCACACGAGGGTCCAGGATGATCCAAAGAGGACCCCACATGGCCCAGGACGGCCCAAGAGGCCTCCAAGACGTCCCGATGCTGGCTAAGGAAGCCTTAAGGAGGCTCCCAAGAGAGGCCAAATTCATGGATTGCCATTGCGTGCCCCTGAGAGATGTTAGCATGCTTGCCATTTCGGACTTAGCAGTGTCCAAGACAGCCCAAGAGACCCCCAGGATCGTCTCAGACGGCCCAAGAGGCCCCCAAGAGGGCCCTCGGATGATACTAAGACGGCCCAAGAGGGTCCCAAGATGGCCTCCAAATCTGCCAAGATGGCGCAATGTGGCCTCCAAGAAATGGTCCACCATGCCCTCCACAACGGTCCAGATGGCCCGAGATGGCCACAACATGGCCCAAGATGGCTCCACGACGGCCCCAGATGGTCCCAAGAGGCCCCCAAGATGTTCACGACAGGAGTCTGAGAGGCCTTATCCTCCTCCTCCTTCTCCTCCTCATCCTCCTCCTCCTCCTCGCCCTCGTTTCCCTCCCTCCCGCCTTCCTCGCCCCCCCCATTCTTGCCAAAGATGTTCCCCCCAACGATTTCTACAACGGCGCGGAAACCACATGCTGTCCAACAAGTCGGCCAAACTCCAGCCCTCGGCTGCACGCAAGAGTGACCCTGGGTAAGAGAGACCTTTGGTGCGCGGCTTTTTGAGAGCCGCGAGGGGGGGGGTGCAAACGCAGGCGCGCAAGGCGCCACAGCCGCCTCGCGTTCGGCGCGCGGGGGCCCCAGTGGACGCGCACCATCGGTCACTCCGGCGCAGGGCCACTCTTACGTGCAGCCCCGTCGCTTTCAAGTTGCCGACTGGTGCTTCGTCTTCTTTTGCGGTCTGGACCCCGTCCCCGGGTCTGGTTCTTCGCCCCGGGTCGTTTCTTGGCGGTCCCGAGGCCCGCCGAGGGCCCCCAGAGGCCGAAACTGGCCAGAATCGGCGACTCGCAAGAGCGGCCCTGGGCAAGAGCGACCTTTGGTGCGCGGCGTTTCGGGGGCCGCGGAGCGAGCAGACACAAGCGCGCAAGACGATACCATCGCATCGCGTTCGACGGTCGGGGGACCCCAATGGGCCCGCACCAAAGGTCACTCCGGCGAAGGGTCACTCTTACGTGTAGTCGACAGAATCGTGTCGTCGCAGCCCATCGCCTGGCCACAAAGAGGCGCCCTCTGCGCCGCAGCGCCGAAAATTGCCAAAAGAAGGTGCAGTCGAAGCCCGCCGCCTGGCCACTGAGAGCTCCCTGCGCCGGCGCAGGGAGGAGGAGGAGGAGGAGGAGGAGGAGGAGGAGGAGGAGGAGGAGGAGAAGGAGGAGGAGGAGGAGGAGGAGGAGGAGGACGAGGAGGAGGAGGAGGAGGAGGGAGACCAGGAGGAGGAGGAGGAGGAGGAGGAAGAGGAGGAAGAAGAGGAGAAAGAGGAGGAGGGAGGAGGGAGGAGGGAGGAGGGGACACCCCCCCCGGCAGGCGCGCCCCTGGGAGGCGCTTGGCCCGCGCCGCGGTCTCCACGCGCCGAGAGGCGGCGGGGGCACGGCGCCGGCGGAGGCCGACGCCGACGCCGACGACGCCGACGACGACGCCGACGCCGACGCCGACGCCGACGCCGACGCCGACGACGACGCCGACGCCGACGACGACGACGACGACGACGACGACGACGACGACGACGACGACGACGACGACGCCGTGCGGCGGAAAACGTGCGGCGCCGAGGCTTAGGTGCGTCTCGTGTGGGCTTCGTGGGTCGCCCCCCGGCCTTTGCCCTGCGGAACGCCTCGAACTCCTCGCGGAGCTTCTTCGGCACCGACTCGGCGCCCGCGATGAGCGGCGCCACCACGTCCGCGGCGAGCGGGAGCTCCTCGCAGGACGGGCCCGGGCCCTCGCCCCCAATGGCCCGGATGCGGACCATCTTCAGCCCCTCGACGCTGCACTCGCCGAGCGTGTCCTCGCAGGCCGCGCAGGACTCGTACACGTCGCACTCCTTCTTCGGCCCAGTGGCCGCCCAGCCTTATGTCGGGCGTGTCCCCCTACAGGGGGATTTTGGGCGAAAAATGAAGATAATCAAAAAGTACCCCCCAAAAAGTAGTCAAACAAAAATCGTCCCCTGACTATTTTTTTACTATTTCTGAAGATTCCCCCTGTAGAGGGACACGCCCGACTTGAGCCCAGCCTGGCTGGCCACCCAGGGCCACTGTCGCCATCTCCACGCAGTGCTCCTCCGTGAGGCGCAGCAGAGGCTCGCTCTTGCACGGTCCCAGATCGACGTGTGCCCGAGTGATGCCTGGACCCGGGTACCGGATCTTCGCGCACGACAGCCCCCTCTTGATGATTGGCACGGCGCCCTTCCACATCTTCTGAAAAGTTGCGTTATTGATGATCCTCTTCGACCACTGCTTGAGGACGCCGGCCACGTCTGTGGCGTGGGCAAACCCGCTGATGATCGCGTGCTCTGTGCCGAAGTCGTGGAAAGCCAGGAAGGCCTTCTCTTTGAAGAGGGAGTACGTCACCGGGCCCTTCTGGCTCCCGTTGGTCTGACTGGGGTTGCTGGACTGTTCCGCGTCGCGCGTGCTGTCTGGACCAAAGCCATACAACGAAACGGACTTGCAGAGCTGGGTGGCCAGAACAAACGCTATGCAGCCTGTGGATGGATACTTGCGTTCGAAGCCGTATCTGATTCGGTTGATCTTGCCCTTGGCGTTGATCATGGTCTCGCAGACGTCGAAGATAGACTGCGACAACCAAAACATGGGACGCCTCTTGTACCAGTCGTGGCCCAATGCGTACGACACGTGTTCCGGGGGCTTCCCGTCAAACAGTGCCACGGGTACGCCGTTGACCCCGTAGTCGCACGGCGAGTTCGCGTCGAACGTGAGCGACATGGGCTTCTGGCCTACGGGCAGCAGCTCCTTGGCGTGCACGGCGAGCGTGACCTGCAGGGCCAGCTGAATAGAGAAGACGGCTGCCAGCGACACCATCAAGACGCGCGGGTGCCTGGCGAGCTTCAGCATCGACCCCATCTGAACAAAAAATGGAACAATGAAATGTATTGATAGTCTCAGATACCTCGCAAATAGCGCGGCCGATATGGTTGCCAGCGGGTAAGAGGCGACGATGGCTACCAAGACCCTGGCTTCGTTCGCGTACAAAGTTCCCAAGCAGGGGGCGCCGCTGGGCTTGCTCTGGGTGCAGGCCCAGCAGGCCCAGCACAGGGCCCCCACGGACAACAACAGCCACAGCAACGAGACAAAGCCAGGATCCCCTCTCACAGATGAGAGAACGTTGGCCTGGATGAGAAGTGTCGGCACAACGCTCCCGAGAAAAACTGTGGCCTTGAGCAGGCAGGGGGAACCGCCGCAGCCCGGAAGACTCGACCTGCCAATAGGCAGCCGGCTCCGGAGCTTCAGACACGCCCCCTGCAGAGCTGCTGCCGGCACCTCCGCCACCAGCCTCCACACCCCGGCCGAGACCGCCGCCAGCCAGCAGGCGAGGAGCATCACACGCAGGACGAGGGCGTCTTCTCCCGACTTCGCCTCCACGAGCAGCCACGCGATGCCGCACGTGCACGTCAGCGCGTGCAGCCCAGGCAGCAGCACCCGGGGGTCCAGGGGCACCCAGCTCGCCGCGGACCAGGGCCCGGTCGCAGGGGCTTCCTTGCGCCTGGCCTGTGCGCCGTCGACCCCGAAAACCACGAGGACCGCGCTGCAGAGCAGCATCAAGGACAGCACTGGGCCGAGGAACATGCGCTCGGCGGAGAGGTCCTTGACCCGCTGGAGGCCCTGCGAGAAGCGCAGTTCGTACTGCACCTCTTTCCTCCGGCAGCCTCGGCACTCGAACTTCTCAAGCGTTCGGTTGCTCCTGCCGCACCTGTCTATGGTGAAAGTGCGCACGTGGGTCCTGTCAGGCATCTTAGCCGTGTGGTGGCAATTGAAGAGGCACTGGCAGCTGCTGGACTTCCAGTGCGTAGTCCAAACACCGCCGACGTCCTGACACCTGCCAGGGCAATTCTGCAATGCGTGCTTCGCGCTGAAGACCTGGCCGAGGGACCTGTCCCGCGCGCCACAGAACATGCTGTCATTTGCTGGCCACACAATGCTGCTATAGATGAAAGGCACACCGACGTGCCCCTTGAGGACGACATAGGAGCGGTCGCGGGCGTACTTCCACCAACTGCACTTGTCGATGCCCTGGTTGCGCAGGAAGAAGAGGTCTTTCTCCATGAACATCAGGAGCGTCAGGTTCAGCTGCTCGGTCTCTCGAGGGGCCCGCGGTGACTTCACCTTCAGCTCCAGCATGCCCGGGCCAGGCAGGAAGGCAAAGCTCCCCAGCTCCACGAGCTCCTCTGTATAGCAGCCCAACCTCATCCTCCTGCCCCTCTCCTATCCCTCCTGCTCATCCTGCCTCTGTTCCTTCTGCCCCGCCTCCTCCTCCTCCTCCTCCTCCTCCTCCTCCTCCTCCTCCTCCTCTCCTC